GGGTACGGTTTTTTGAAGCAGATTTCTCAACAACCATCAAATCAAATTGTATCAAATTTTTTATATTAGATCAATCGCGACTTGAACTTTACTAACATTCTCACTTTATTTTAATAGATGCACAGATCATTGAGATAAAAATATGTTGTCAAAACTTTTCAGACACCCTACGTATCAGCATGTTTTTTTTTGAAGCAACTTGACCTGGAGTTGTCAAAGCTCTGATAGTAATAGTTTTTTTAACCTGCTAAAAACTGGAAAAGCAAGTGTTTCTGAAATTACCAAAAAAATTAATATTAAATACTTTTATCTTAGTATTAGTACTAACCCCTCCTCCATTGGATTACAATACCATTATCATAACATTTATCCATTTATCGGATATGAGTCAAAGACATTACTTGTTCAAGACCAATATAAAATTTATACATGCATGTATACTAATACTAAAGCATTACTTTTTTTCACAATTAATTTCCACTTTTTGTGCACCTAATGAGCATTACCACCAACAATTTGATCGATCGCAGTAAATTATAAGTTTAATTTGCTATTTCTTATAGATCCATCTCATTACTAGTAATTAATTGACAATAATTATTCCAAACCATAAAATAAGAATGGGAACGGTTCTTTACCAAGATTCTCCTGGTAGCAAATAAATTTATTTTAGCTGAAGTTTTTAACTGTTCTAACTTCTATTATTTATATTGTGAGAGATGCGTAAGTCAGTAATTTAATTTGGCATTTTTAACGGATCAGTAATATGAGGCCTGCTGCAACAAAACAAGACAAAGTGAACCTTTGACTGTGGGAGCTAATATAGACATAGTAGTAGTAGTAGTAGTAGTAACTATAAAGCACACAAATATAGATAATGATGTTTGTGAAGGCTTTGCTTGAGTAGCACGGCTGCGACTTAGTATGATTTTTAATTTGCATTTAACTAATATTTAAATTGATTAAGATAAACCTTTTGCTTAAAGTTATACCGCGTTTATATTTAATAGGATTATCTCTATTTCAAATAAATTACACAAGTGAACCTTGGATATAATGATGTGCCTCCGCTCCGCCTTTTTCTTCGTTGTAGCTCGTTTTCGTTATATCCAGGTTCACTGTGTATATGAAACCAATTTACAAGCTCACTGTTGAATTTAATAATTGCGGTATCATTAGAAGTATTCTAAAAAAATAACAGAGTGAAAATTTTGCACCATATGTTTTTAAAATTAATAATACTAAACCATAACTAATAATCGACCCGTATATGGAAATGATTTACTATGATCGAATTAACGAACGTAGTAGTAGCTGTATGATGATAAATATATATTTATACGCACAGGCTTAATAGATTACCTAAGCGTTTAGATCAACAAAGTATTGAAAATTAATAAATTATGTCGAATAAAGGAAGAAACTTCGGGTCTTGCTCAAAGAGATCGAATTATTGGAAAATCAGTGTCCCGATGTTTGGGTTACCATCGGATTCACATATCATGAACATATGCAGAAATATTGTCTGATAAACGAATTGACTGAGAATGGATTATGTCTGGCGTGTATGGCTGTACGTGAATCTTGTATAAATGCATTCTGTTGGCATTGTAAAGCACCACGACCTGTTGATTGGACTAACTTTATACTATCACTAAATAATCTTTAATATGGGTCATCGGTTATCCAAACAGAACGAAGAACATCAGTTTGCAAGGAAGGGTTCCCTAAAACCGGCAAACGAAAGCAAACATATGAATTGCATTAATTGCAACTATTTTGAGCCGATTATCAGTTAAAACCATCAGAGTTGTATTACAGTCGTACCCCCTATAGTCACGCCGTCGGTTCCGCCAAAACCTGTGACTATAGAGGAGTGTGACTATATAAGGGGATCCTTCCATAGTCATATGTACGCAAGACTATATAGACAAAAGTCATTAAGTAAATAACTGTATCATGATCTTATGTATAATATTGCTTTATTCAACTTATCATATTGCCTAAACGGACAAAATCACTACCCTAACTAATTACTTGATTATCGCAAATAATTTCGCCTTCTCCTTGATCAGAACTTCTGTAAAGATTACCCCTTTTTCTGTCATTTGTTCGACCCAGAAGCCCATCGCTTCGTCTAACAAAGGAAACTTGGCGTTACAATGTTTAAAAATCTTGTTAGAAACCTCCTTCCCTTCAATAGAAAGCCACTTATCTTTTTTTACTGATAGTTGATCGGTCAATGTTGAGATTGTATTTAGAGTTAAAGTAATTGGCAATTTCGTTTTGTTTAAAAGTCTTGTTACGCATATGAAAAATACAAATCTCAATTTTGAGTGCATCACTGACGGATGTTCTTATTGTTTTCTGTGACATTTTTTTTGAGTGAAGAAGTAATGCCAAACTTAAATTTTAACACATAGTGATAGACAATAATCACATGTCTGTAAATACTTTGTTCACGTGATGTGACTAAAGAGGGGGAAATTTACATATATTAATATCTGTTATTAGCGAAGAGTGTGATGGTGACATAGTCAAAATGTGCCTAAATAGGGCGAATTTATTATAAAATCGGTTGGTTCCAACAAACGTGTGACTACAGAGGGGTGGTGACTATATAGGGGGTGCTTATAGAGGGGTACGACTGTATATTGTTATACGTGGTATACACATCGAAATTTAATGCATATGTCCAAAATTTAATATGGAAGAAATTGTTGCAGCCTAATCAGATATCCAGTACTTTCAATACTGCAATATCAACAGGTAAGGCTTAACCAAATGATCTTCAACTAGAAATTTTTACAACTGTCAGCTATACTAAGTTGATGTGTTATCAATTAACCAGTTCATTTTTTCTCTCTCTACGGATATCTTAGCAAAAGTATTTTATTGCTGTATTATATATTGAAGCTAGTTGATTGCACTTTCTGAAAAAAAAAAAGCTACGCTTCTGGCCCGTAGTGCGGTTGTGATATCAGACAATGTGTCCATTGCGATTGCCAGAACTTCGAGGGTGAAATGATTGTCGGCCTCTCTACTGTTGTATAGTGCAGAGCGAGAATAAGTGTCTAACTGCAGCCAAGATGAATAAACTTGAAAAACTTTTAAGTTCGTTATCATTATCAATTTTACCACTAACCGGAAAGAAAATGGTTCCTCTTCAACCTTTGATTTTTCTCTGCAATCTTCATAGTTATTCAGTGAAAATCTTCTGTTAAGTCAAACCTCTTTATACCGATACACTGGCGACTGGCCACTTTATCGGTATAACCGAGGTTCTGTCTTGCTTCACCGTTGTAATGCGTGGGAGGACTCGGCCTTTTTGCAGTACTTAGTATAGGCTTGTTATACCACTCTGCCGGATGTCCATGCGGAGATCATTTTACATTTTGGGGTTTAACAATTGCCTGACCCGCGAAATTGGATATTATTATGTACGTTAATATATTGATACATATGATCTACTTTCGTCAATTAACCCAATATTCAAATCAACATTGCACGCAATAATTCTTGATTGCGCCAAACTGTTGGGTAGCTTCCTGTGTATATATTTCTGAATGGCCTGCATATTAGAAAGGAGGTTCTAATAAGACATACTATCCTGTTGAGTAAAAACCGACATGTTACAAGTCGGCTTTATAATGAAAGTCCACGTTTTCATGAATCCACCAAATTTTATTCCTTTCCTATCAATAGGCTGTTTTATTCATTTTCTCTCCGACGAAATATGCAATAAACTTTGCAAATGAGAGTTTTAATCCAAACCTAAGTCACGAACCCGCGCAAGATATACATATAATCTAAAGAAGGTAATAAGGAAGCCGTTATCTTACTTTTACTCTTGATTAAAAAGCTTAAATAATACTTTTGAAATGAAAGACGTGCGTGTCCTAAGGGTGCATAAATAGTAATTTCTAGCATAAATAAAGGTCATTATATAGTGACTTTAGCAGCATTCACCTTTCTTTAGACATGACCCTAATACTAGCAGATGTCTGTACACTAAGAAAAAGTAAACTAAAGAAAATCACTGAAACCCAAATACTAAATACACAGATATCAAACAGAAAACGCATTTTCATCCCAGGGAACGTTCTCAAAACGCTCCTATTGTTGCTGAATATGTGCATTGCATTTCCCCCTCTTCAAATGTGTATCTAAAGAACAATGGCAATTTCCTTAAAACAATAAAATAATAGTCTCTAATAAGAATATGACATAAAATGAGCCTTTCTGAGTAAATAAAGATAATGCTTTTGAATTTGATATAATACAACGAAAAATTTCATTTTGTTAGGAGAAGTGCAATGGTAACTGCAACCAGTAATGAGAGTATGCAAAAAGAAATATTTGTCGTCATTCTATCATATGTGAATCTCTCTTCGCTCCGTTGTCAAACAAAAGCTATTGATTGAATGCCATAAAAACTATAATACAGAAAAAAAATTTTACAAACATAAATAAAATAGGAATTTCCTTTTGTATTGACAACAAAGAGATAGAAAGTTCAATCACTTCAAAAATAACTGCACAAATGATCACTTCTTTTGCACAACCAGCCTCTCTTGTTTTTGTTTTTGTTTTTTTTACTTGTGCATCCAAGGAAAAGACTGGTAAAGTATCATATCAAATGATATTAGAACCGCGTTCTTTTCTTTTATATATTTTTGTTTATGTACCAACCTCATAGCTCACCAAGGACGAAGTCCATGTACTATGGGAGAAGTGCACAATGGGCTGACAGCGTCAGCAGACGCGTCAATTGGAGATGTTTTACTCGTAAAAATTGAAGGAGGTGGATGCCGAGTCTGTTCGTTGTTGGAATAAATTGTGTTAGTACATGTACTGTCAACGATAGTCAATAGTAAACACTCTTGTACGTTATATGCTATTGTTCTGGTCGTACCTGTTGCGAGGATCCTTGTGGAGACCGCCCTTGGTGCTGGTGATGCGAATGCGCATGATGACTCACGTGACTCCCGTTTATATGGGTTCTGTTAACGTGCGAATGGCTTCCTTGCGGTGGATGACCGTTTTCTGCCTCCAATGCTGCCGCAGCCAACATATCCAAAGTGGGATTCTGAACATACTGCCCAGCAGTTCCATTTGCTCCAGTTTGCGAGTTATATCCCTGCTGGGGTACCTGCGGGCTCACTTCCGGAGGTGAATGGTAGTTTGTATTACCATTTGGATAGTTCTGGAACTGTAGCGTCGCTGAGGAGAGATATATTGTCGATGGATATGTAGGAGTAGGAGCTTGGTATATGGGGACTATAGTGTATGGAGGAGAAGGAGGTAATAAATTTTGTTGCGACATGGAGGATGACATCGGTTGGGATGTGACATTAGTAGAGACATTTGTGCCCGCATTATTATTGGACATCATTGACATGTTATGGAAAAATATTCCTGGAGTGTTATTAGGGGCAAGTGGGATAGGAAAAATATCCGATGTACCATAGTTGTCGAGATGAGGAATACCAGCAGCCGATGTCAAATTCGTTGGACTGTTCTTTGCTTTCTGCCTCTGATTTTGAAACCATATTTGAACGGTACGGGGATGCATGTTCAATGAGTTGGCCAATGCTTCTCTCATTTCAGTAGATGGAAATGACGTGACAGAAAGTACTTTTCGAAGTACTCGCGTTTGGTATGGAGTGGTAACATTCCGTGTTCGTTTCCGTCGTGCCTGTGATAATAATTCGCGATTCTTTGGATTTTGTTCGTTAGCTGGGAATATCATGGTAGCATCCATTACATCATGTTCATATTTTACGTCACCCACATTATGTTCTCCATTAGATGATTGCATGTCACTACGAGAGTCATCGTCGTGTTGCGACCATGAGCGTTGCGTAAGCATGTCAACGGGGGGATCCCCAGCTTCTTTTAATATTTGTTTTAAAAGGATAATTTCAGCCTGAGTAAAGCTTCTGTTAACCGAGTACCCCGAACGATAGCCAGGTTTGGGGTCAGGGTATTTTGGTCTTCTTCCTTTTCTTTTGTCGTCTTCCGATGAAATAGAGGCGGCCAAAATGCTTGGGTCACCAGCCCCAAGCTTTTCTTGTAAATGTAGACGAGAATCCGCTTTGTCATAAGCCATTCTTTTTTTTTTTGATGCGATTGGGAAATAAACAAGTGTTTTGTGAACAAGATTATCGTGAGCTGTTTGATGAAGTGTAATCTTAATCGGTGAATGGAAGAATAAAGGAAAAGAAAAAGGGAGGAAGGAGGAAAGGAATGGTCGAGTTGGAGGGAGGTATAAGAGGAAATTGTTAGATTGCTGTATGTGTGTGGATGGGTGGGGTATTATAGGTAATCCGGAAAGTACTATTAATTTGTGTGATGGAATGCATAGTTACTGTGTTTCATAATTATATGGTGGTGGAACGCAATGCCTAAATGAGCACACGAATGTGTGAATAATAGATTGCAAATAAGACGGACAGCATGAGTGTGTGAAATGTCAAAATAACAGTATTTGTATAAAAATGTACAATTACAGTATTTTATTAACAAATCATGTGATGTGAAATCAGTCTCATGGCTTAACAAATAATGAATTTGTTGTTACATGTTTGATCGGTGGTCGAGTTTTAGTGCGCAATAACTGGTGTAACACATGAACCAATACCTAAGAAGGAAACAACGCTAAGAATTAGCGAGTTGTAAAGAGCTGGATGGCCAAATGATCGTCAAATGGGCGAAATGACAAGCTTTGTAATGGTCGAATGCTATTCGATGCTTTATAATATAAGTTGCATATACTATATTTATACTGTGTATCATAATTTATATTATGCATGTGTTATGTGTCCCATATTGTAGATTATTCATACGTCTATTCTACATTAGTAATGTCTTACAACCTATTCTAAATTTTATTTATATTGCTTATTATTTCAAGCATTATATAGTATCAACACTAGGAGATGTATTATTATTACTAACTATAGCTCGTGTGTATACTATTAACGGATTATGGTCAGCTGTACTCAGCGAAACAAACAAACAGAAGCATGCAAGAAAAAAAAATTGTATAAGAAATAAAACATGATAAAAATTACTCTATGGAAATAAGCTTTTTTTTCCTTACAAGAACTTGTTCCGAACGATGGTTGCATCATTACCCAGCTGGTCACGTCGTCCAATCGACAATAGGACCGCAGCTAAAGGAAAAAAAAATTGGGGAAACGTCTTAATTCGATCTGTACAACCGAAAGTTTGTATATTTACCCTTTTAGTGTAGAATACAAATTATTATTAATTCTATCTACCCATCCAAAGGGTATCGAATGAATACACCGGACGAGGTCGTTGTTTGATAGTAAGTGATCACCAAATATGGTCAGCCTAATAATTGCCGACATACAGAAGCAGAACTAGAAGCTATTTCAGACGAGGCTGCAGTGAATACAGTTTGTAAGCGGGCATGCAAAATTGTAAGGGTAGCAGCGCATAAGGGAAACACGCTTTCTGTATAGTCGGAAATTATGTACATACAATCATTATCCATCAACATTATTTACCCCTTTCGGTCATTACTCGGTATACCGGATTTCTCCTCTCATTAATACTCATCATTCACCATCCGCAATTGAGTTAAATGCACTTTTGGACCGAGTAGTTTTACAGGTTAAATTAAATTACCATCTACACAACGCATATCAACAAGCCTCCAATCAATAAGCGACGGAAAATTGATTGTGTGATTTAAACTTCTGTTTATTTTAATAATCGAATAATTAATTACTAATACAATAAAGATACACTACTTACACAGCACTAGACACGGCACTACTTTACACAATACTAGACACGGCACTACTTACACAGCACTAGACACGGCACTACTTACACAGCACTATCCTACCGAACAGATGTGTATAAACTAATATTTAGTAGATTATCTTTTCATCCCTCACATCCTGCTCATATCCGTCACACACGTTCTTGCTTCCCCATCTGTCTAAATATTTGTTTTGATTATTATCTTTGTGTCTCAACGGAAAACAAACATTAGAGCATGAAACAAGTCAGCCGGCTCTTCAAACGCAAAAATAACTCGGGTTACTTATCGTGTGTATATACTCAAATATTTGATACTGTATACTGTACACATACAGGATGACACATTAATGCAAAAAGACAATCGACCAGCGCTCCCCCCCCCTCCTAAAAGACTATATTAAACCAGTATCGTAATAACATTGTATGTATTTTCAGTCAAACAAATTGGTTGACTTGCAGTAGATAAAATTATTACTAAATTTTTTATCAGCTAAGCTCACATTATTCATGTATTTCTAATTCAGTCTTTATAATTATGGCTAGAGAGGCTTGCATTTAATTTATTAAGGTTAGCCGAAATTAATCCAGGCAAGCAATTTGCATACACAACAAAACACTAGACCAACAGCAATCGAGATGCTAATTAAAGTCAATTAATTATAATTAAGGGTGAAGAAAAAATGTTTAATAAGACGATTGAAAAATACGTAGAATAAGCGTCACCGAATGAATGGATTGAATGACATGGACATGATTTAGATAATTTAAATAGTTATACGTCAGGAGCAAGACATCATCACATCGGCTGCACGTATGATGTGACAACATATAAATAATTCATTCATATACACATACGACTCGCACGTTTCACTTTTACAATAATGATCGTATTCCACTCTTAAGTTTTAATCATCCTCCTTCACTCAACACAAACGCGCCAATGGCAGCTCCACACTGCTTACCACATGCTTAAAATCAAATTGTCGATTGTGGTTTGTACATGCAAATTTTGAGCCTATTAGAAAAGTAAAGATAAACAGGGAAGCACCAATAAAAATAATATAATAAACCATATTTGCTCAAGGGAGAAATGCATGTGAAAAGGTCATAGTGAGTGATCGGTGAATAATAATTGCCACCACATGCTGGTTAATATTCGCGTTTATGATGATAATCTCGTATTCAACTATCGCGGTTATGATCAAAAATTACATCATGAAGCAGCCCTGAAATATAGGCGATCAACCGACCGTGAACAAAAAAATAATAAACAAAAACCAGCCGTAAGAGTATATCAGATGTACTGTGCTTGACTAACCAAGGAGAATGAATTAAGCAAGGCATATTACAAGTTGTCGAAGAGAAAGTATTTGGAAAAGTACCACTATTGTTTTAATAACGTTAAATGCTTGTCATATTTAACTGCTATTAACTGCAAATGGCTTTCCTCTATTCGAGATAACTAATTCTTTACCTCCGTTTCGCAATCTGTAATGTAGCAATCTGTTTTCAAACTAAAAGCATCAGCATCCAGAGTTTTAAGCAATAAATGAGAACATGATGCTCGATACTTCTGTGTGATGCTTATCCAACTTTTACAGTACCCGTTTACAATGTAACTCAATCCCAGAACTAATAACGTATTCGCGACACTTTTACCATTTTATCCATAAATATTCTTTGCAAGTACTGTTTAACTGTTTATTTAACAATATACTTTTCCCTTGAGATAGTTATTGGAATTTTTAGCTGACTTCATATTCTTAATTGATCTGTTTATTATCCTGAGCCCTGTTTCTCTAAAAAAACGATTACGTGCGAATCAAAATGGATTTTACCGATAACTTTTGTGGGCCGGTCCCGCGTCAAGTCGCCCTAACAACCCAGCAATCACAGTTTTAATTGTATTGAAAGCGGTATTCAATGATATATGCTCTCCTGAATCGGGCCTCCTGAATCGTCGTCATTTGCTATTTTGGGAATTGAGGTACAATATCTAGATTTGAAATAGTGCGGAATTTTGTTTTTTGCTTAATCAAATCATGAGCCGCCCTGTGTTACCAGAACGCTTTCTATGCAATGCATTAAATGCATCGATTCTATTTGTGCTACGGTAAATGGTCATTTGCAAACAAGGAATCATAATAAAGTTATGACAAGGAACTATAATATTAAGATGCATGCAGAAAAAATGTCTGAAAATGCAGACGTGGCCTCGTTTTGCTTGCGTGCATTTACGATACATTTCGTGATTAACTGGATATACATCGAAGCCGTTAGAAAAGTACGAATTACATTCACATTATCTTCGAGATATCTCGTGCAACTTTGAGTAAGTAATACAAACAACTACACATCCAGCATCCTAATCCTACTTTTTTATATTTTTATTCGTAACAGCGACACTTGGTTTGAACTTATTATTATGTTATACGCTAATATCCGAAGTCTCGAACGTATTACGACAAGGAGTTGCTGTTATATGTCTTGTTGGTTTAATATATTGTCGAACACAAGAATGGTACCGATATGCAAACTTCTGACGTAAACTCCTATATGGTTTATTTGACATATCGTATTCATATATTAGCGTATTCGTTAGCATTTGAAGGAACGAATTTTTGATATTTTCTCAGAATGACCACTAAAGGCGAAAACGGTTAATTGCAGATCATCGGAGAATTCTATTTAAAGTAATAACGTCTGGACAATCAATCTCCATAATCTTGCTTTAAAAGGAAATAAGAGATTGCCGTTATTGCTAGCTTAAGCTTACATCATATATTGCAGTTACCAAAATGGGAGACCTCTTCCTCAATAGCGATAACCCAATCAGACAGACACCTCTATTATTGTTTTTCCTATTGTATCGGCGCGCACCAGAAGCCAAGATCAACATCGGAATCCTCACTAGCCATAAAAAGTCCAAGAGCCGAAAATATTCCGTGTACTTGTTTAACCGTTGTGAGACGACTCTGGGGATACGCTGAAGAACTTGTATTCCGTATATTTTAAACACATTATTTGTATGCGCCAAGCATACGAAAACCTATTTGAGTTATACACTGGCTATAACACGTGATGAGATCTTGATCAACCATTAAAAAATTTCTTTGATTTTATTAAATTTTTATTTACAGTGAAGCAGTTGCTTCTTAAACGGTCCAAAGGGGTTTCGGCTTCAAATCCCGCGTGTTGGACGGAGATGAGTACAGGACAAAATTGGAAGTTTGAGCTCTTCTAATTAGAATAATACTGACAAAGTTTAGGAGAAATTTGTTAAAAACACTTTGAATAGTTGTCATTGTTTAT